AATATTGGACATGGTTACTATGGGAGACAGGGCGACATGTCTTGTAATCCTCAGAACAGGACATCTTGGAGGGCCAAGCCCCATCTCTGTGGTGGATGGCAGGAGCAAGAACGCCTCACTTTCAGACCTGGCCATATGTCTGTCTCTCTTCTCTCTCCCCTGGATGTCAATGCCCAGGGTCACCTAGAAGCCGAGATCCCAGAATGACTATATGGAGCAGAGCCCCCCTCCACACTCTCAATTTGGTTGGGTTTAATATGAGTGAGAAATAAACTTAGCTCAGATCAGAGACAGCACGGCTGATCTCTCTAGCAACTCTGCGCCTCTATTTCATAAACACCAGAAAGCAGTCCACCCAGTCACCTTTTCAACAAGGAACATTAACTGCTTTTGTCATTAGAAGTCAGTTTAGATTTTTAAAAGCCATAGGCTGATGGCCCCTCTGTTCTCTTTACTCGACAGTCACATGTCTGTTTGGCTTCTCCTGGGGTCTCTCCACAGTTCCCTCCTCCGGCCCAACCCCGCTCCTGGGCCCCGGCCTGGACCCGTTGCCGATGCTGAACAGGTTGAGGGGTCTCTGCCAGGAGGTGGAGGGCGAGGCCTTGGGGACTGACTCTGGGACTCTGAGTCTAGCCCTCTGGCCCCCCACATCATGGAATTTAAGAGTCAGTTGGGATCTAGCTGAAAATGCACAACCTCAATCTAATTGTGAGGAAACATCTGATACACACAAAAAGAGGAACGAGGAACTTTCATTAAAAGTCAAAGCGGTGGGGGAAGTGAGGAGGGAAATCTGAATTTCTTAAAAAGATCAATGTCATAAAAGACAAAGGCCTTGGAACTGCTCAGATTAAAGGAGGGAAAAGACACTGGGCAGGCCAGGGGTGGGCGGGGGGGGGGGGGTTGCTGGGGAGGAGCCTGAGCGTAAGTTCCATCCGTGAACTGTGAAGCGGAAAACTGAACCGTGGCTAATAGCTCAGTCTTAGAAAAAGAGTTTGGGGGTAAAGGGCGAAGATGTCTATCACTTGCCCTCATGCGATTCAGAAAAAAGAGAAAAGGTGTTTGCAGAGAGAGCATGAGGGGTGCCAGTAATTAAGCCAAGGGGAGACGCTCCTAACAAGCCGCGATTGTACTCCGGACGCTCCTCTCTGCTGTGCTGCTTCTATTCTGGAAGTTTTTGAAATCTGAAATTGTTTCCAAAACGAAAGGCTTTGAAAAGCCTTCCCCAATTTAGCAGCAGACTGCTTATTTCACACAAGAACTCCTTGTGTGATGCCAGGACAGGCAAGGTTGTCTGGGGTGAAGCTGCGTAGGGCCCGGACTGCCCTTTGGTGGCCCGTGGGGTGCTTTGTGGCACCCAGCTTGGAAAGCGCTGATTGAGTTCAGCTTGCACGTTTCTGGGAACACGGTGGGAGGCAGCTGTTTCTGCATCCAAGCGTCTACTGAACATTTACACGCAGACGCAGTTGCATCTGACCCCCGCAATCACCCCGAGAGAGGAGGTGCTACCTTTCTTTTATAAGCGAGTTCCCCAAGGTTCTGAAAGGAACTACCTCCTTGGGCGCCTACATGTCCAGGAGTTTCCTGTATGCCCCCCGGTCCGGTCCCTGCTCGGCCACCCTCGGAGCAGGACACCTGGTCCCCGACTTAGACACAGGCGGAGGCCCACGAGATGCATGTCCCAGGCAACAGCACCAAAGCTGGGCTTCAAAGCTGGGTCCAAGAAGAAACCCCAAATCCTTGAACCTGCTTCCTCTCAGTGAAGAAGCCGAGGCTCTAGAAGGAGCAGCCCGGCCAGTTGAGGGTGAGGAGAAGCTGGGAACCGCTGCTCCCCCATCAGTGGGAGGGAAACATCACCTCCTGTCCCGTCCCGGTGAGGAGCCCATTTGTTCCTGGCGGGGAGTCTCCCTCAGAGCCCTAACTCCTGCCTGCACTTCTGGGCTGGGCCTCTCCCTGCCTGGATTGGCTTCTGAATCAGACAGAGGACCCAGACTCCCTGCCACCCCGGGTGGGGAACAATGAGCCCCCCTGTTCTGCTCTGTCCTTTCACTTCAGTGCCTGGCATGACCTCTTAAGCAACTGCTTTTCTTTTCTGGCCTTCTCCCCCCAAATGAGCCATTCTCTCCCCCATTCCCTGCCCTCTGGTAAGTTTTTAACAAACAATTCATTGTCAGCAAAAAATCGCAGTGTTTGAAAGTCACTGGTTGCTGTCCAGAGAGTGGGTGTTTGAATGCATTCCAGGAAGCCCCAGGCTTCTGAGAACCAGCACTTGCTGATTATAGAACTGCCCTTTCAACCCCCATGCAGCCTTCCTGATAATGTCCCGGGTCGGACTGCCTTGACCCTGACTTGGTGTGACTCAGGGAGAAACGATTCCGCCAGTAGAAGTCCAGGTGTGGAAGGTCACTGTCCTTAGGAAGTGCAGGTGGCCGCCCTGGGTGCGAGCTGAGACTTATCTCAATGACGCTACCTCTCCAAGCCAGCAGGGTGGTGTCCGCTTAACACGGGAAACTGAGGCTCAGGGTGCCTAACCTGAACACAGGCACACAGTTGGGAAGGAAACCCCAGAAGGAGGGGTTTGCCAGAGCACCCCAATCTCAGCTGGATCTCTTGGGCACTGTGGGATAAAAAGGAGACCCCTTTCTCTTCTGAGTTCCTCCAGCACCCCAGGGGCAGCCTGTCTGTCCTCTCTTTGGGGCCGTCACATTTCTGGCTCTGTTCAATTTTACTGCTGCTCCCCCTTCTCACCCTGCAGGAAACGCCCTGGCCCACCCCTCTCCCCACTGCTGCAGATCTGGGACTGCCTCACTTGGAGACGGTCTGAGAAGGTTCTGGGCTTGTTTCTGGCCAGCGCTTTGCCAGTCCACAAGGGGGTCTTAACCCTATACTTCGTGTCGCTGATGCGAGGTGTGCAGACACTTTGTCAGGGTTCCCCACCGCTGAACTGACCACGTGAAGCTCTGAAATCTCAGGGTTCTGCAGATTGCTCACCAGCCCCCCACCTTCCACAGGGATTTGTTGGAGATTATTCAGTTGTGATGGTCCCATTTCTGGGGCTGTTCTCTGGACCCCAAACTGTACAGGACAATGGGTCTCAAAATGTAACATCCACAGCATGAAGGAAACCCTCTACTTCACTGTCCCCTCGCCCACCCTCTTCTCCAATCCCACTTCAACACCACGAGGAAGGGCCCGCGTGGTCTAACTCAGCGCGTAGCTGCTTCTGAGGAAGGATAGTCTCCCTAGCAAATGGCCCCTAGAGCACAAATCATTTTAATCCAAAAGAGAGACTCCAGCCTGGAGTCTGGAATGTGGCCTGTTTCAGACCTGAGAGGCAACTCTCCGAGGCCCAGGGGAATTTGCACCCCAGCCACACGCTAACTATGGCTCGCTGTTGGCTTGTGGGGAAAAACTCCACTTCGACATTGTGTCTGCGCATCTCGGAAGCAGATGGGGAGCCAGCACCATCGGCTGAACCCAACATTCCAATTCACATACGCTGTTTCCAATAGTCACAAGCGACTGAACCATTAGGGGTCTGAGTGCTCCCTCTCTGAAAAGCAGCTACCTCAAGTGAGGAAGGAAACTGGGGCTTAAGGGGTTAAGTAAGTCATTCGAGGTGACGCAGGTACTGAGTGACAGCCAAGGAAAATGAATCGAGGTCTGTGGGTCTCCAGAGATCACAATCCCTCCACTCTCTACACCAGGGCTGTCGTGTGCAGTTCCTCAGGTTGCTCACTGTACAAGGGTGTCTAGCTAAAGGGGAGGAGACCCAGCCAGGGTGTACACAGGGTGTGCACTATGGTGCAGCGATGCCATTTGGTGTCTGCCTGGTACACTGATTAGAAATGATTCCACCGACTCCCCTCCCTCTATCTGCACCCCCTGCAATGAGACTCTGCAGCTCTTTTCCATCAAGGAACAAGCCCTTTCCTTGTTTTCTGCAAGGAGTTCCTCACTCCTCACACTGGGGCTGGTCTCGTGACTAGACAAGTTGTGCAATATGTTAGATGGCATCGTGTCAGTTCAAGTTCAAGCCCCTGAGATCTCTAGAAGGCTCTGCCTGCTCTCTAAGGCCCCGGTTATTGCCATGGGTACAAGCTCTGGCTAACCTGGTCTGGTTACCCCCACTCCAGACCCATCAACAGCCTCTCAACCACCCAACATAGAAGCAAGGCCCTCCTAGGCCAGCCAGTCTCCTAACGACACACGCTGGCCTCAGACACACAGGCGGCCCAGGCACACGGGACCCACCAGCAAACTGCCAAACAGGCGCAAGAATGAGTGCCACGTGATGAAGGGGCTGCGATGGGTGGAATTGTGTTCCCCACTTGCTCCCCATTTATATGTTGAAATCCCAACCCCTTTGGAATATGACCTTCTTTGAAAACAGGGTCCTAGCCTTGCAGATATAGTGGGTACAGATGGAGGGCATCTGGGAGCAGGGAGGGCCCTACCCCACATGACTGGTGTCCTCCTAGGCAGGGGGCCGTGGACAGGACAGGCATGCAGAAGGCACGCAGGCGACGGGAGTGGCGCTGCCACGAGCCAAGAACAACTACACGTGAACAAATACACACCTCCCGCAGGCCTTCAGAAGGAGTGTGAGCCTCTCCACACCTTAATCTCAAAGATCAAGTCTCCAGAACTGCGAGAGGAAACACTTCTCATTGTTTAAGCACCCGCTTCGTTCGAGCTGACCTAGGAAGCGAATTTAGCCGCTTTCCCTGATTCACATGGCGGCACGGTCCGGCTGGCTTCCTCACCTGCCCCCAGCGGGCAGCCAGGTGTGGCCCTCCTCTTGGTCCCTAGACAGCCCCTGAATTTTAAGCCTACCTGGCCCAGTCCTGCCCCAACAGGACTCCACCTGGCAAGGCTTCTCTAGTATCTTCCAAGGGCTCTGGAGTCCTGGAATGGGGGTGGCGTCCCACACCCATAGAATCCCGCACGCTGGGGCCTGGAGAGAGCCCCGGTTCAGGCCCCTCCCAGCTGCCACATACCTGGGTTGCCGAGCGCCATAGAGTCGTAGATGAGTTTGCAGGTCTTCAGCAGGATGGCAATCTTCTTCTCGGGCGAGTAGGCCTTGTGCATGCTGGTGAACTTCTGCAGGATCTTCTCCATGACCGCCACCTCGGGCACGCTGGTGGTCACCCCCAGGTCGGTGGTGGTGGTGGCCAGGATCACCAGCTGGTTGTCCTTGAGCTGCTGCATTGAGCCGTCCTTGCTGTGGATCTCATGCAGGCAGGAGTTGATGGCTTCCTTCAGGGGCTTCAGGACACACTTGTACAAGGCAGACTCCACAATCGCTTCTGTAGGTGAGAAAAGTGGCCTCGGAAATCCTGCCCCCATGCCCTGTTGCTCACGGGGGTGGCCATCCCTGTCTTCTGGTCCCTGGAAGGATGTACTCACAGCCCCAGCAGTACACCTTCAGGTCTGACCCCCCAGACACTTGTACAGACACTGGGAAGACACTGGCCAGGACTGATGCATTTTATCATCACTATTTTCACAGGGTGTGGTACAGAGTAAACTCTCTGGCTGCTTAGCAATTCATAACTTTCAAGGATACCAGTCACACTGGAGTTGTGCAGTGTACAGCCTGTGCAGCTGTACAGAGAGGGCCTGGGCACCCAATATGCTTGGTGGAATTATTCAATTCCCAAATCCACTTGACTCCAGCCTCAGGAAAGCTGTGCATCTGGAACCTGACTTCTCACCACCATCACAGTACCACCTTCACTTGGCTGCTACCACCTCTTGGCCCGAGTTATGTCAGTAACCTCTCACCCTGGCCCCTTTTAGTCCCGTCTCAACACAACAACCAACGTAATCCTGTTAACACATGTTTGATCATGTCATTCTGCAGTTTAGAATCTTCCAGTGGCTCCCATCCTATGCATAATAGAAGCCGAAGACTTCCCCATGGCTCACAGGCCCCCTCTGGGATCTGCCCCTGTGACCTCTCTCACTTATTACCTTGTTCACTTCCCTGTGCCTGTGCTGCTCCAGCCACCCTGGCCTCCCTGTTGCTCAGCCAACCTGCCAGCCTGCTCCTGCCTCAGGACCTTTGCACTGGCTACTCCCTTGGCCTGGAGAAGTCAGTCCACACAGCTTATCCTTTACTGCTCCACTGTCTGTTATCCAAGAGAACACCCTGATCATCCTGTGGAAAGGGGGTCAGTCGGCACTGATCTCCCAGCAACTGTACACACAGGCCATTACCTCTACCCTGCAGATGGCCCGACAGGCTCTGGGGTCTGCGTCACAGGGCTGGCTGGGGGCTGAGCAAAGACCTGGGCCTCTGTCTATATGTTCGGTTGCTTTGGGTGACAGTCGGGAAATATTCTTGGGAAGCCTTTGGCTCTCCCCTGTCTCCAGGGGGAAGGTGTTGGCTATTGGTCTAGTAAGGGGAGATCCCACATCCTGTCCCTCTAGGGAGACACCTGAGCTTCCCATTGCCGGAGGGTGAGGGAGGCTTATGCTTCCATAGTTGAGTCTCCAGAGAGGCCACAATTCCCTTTCCCCACCATGCAGGCCTCGGGTTGGCGCCCGTCCTGGGTGCGGATCCTGCTACCTCCCTCTTCCCTTCTGCTTCAGCAGTGTCTTCAGCCAAAGAACGTATGGCTGCCCTTGTACCCCTCCCACCCCCCCCCACCCCACCCCTGTCCATCCTCCTAGGCCCACATCACCAGCCCATAGTCCTCAGACCTCCTGTCAGTGGAGCCAGGTGACTGGGGGCAGGGTCTTGCAGTGGTTCCTCCCCTACCCCTCACTCCCACGTGACCTTGGCCAAGTCTTTTCCCCATTCCAGGGCCTGTTTTCTATGTGCAAAATGAGAGGCTGTGCCCAGGCCCTCCAGGGTCCTTGGTCCCTGAGAGCCACCAACTCCCCTGCAGAGACGGCCCCCGGCCCTCAGCAGCCTTTGCCTCTGGTTGCTCTTTGTCTCCCTGGTGGCCCAGGGGCATCCTGGGTGGGAGTGTGTGGTGGGTCCTGCCTGGTCTGTCACGTGGTTGCAGCTCCTCGCCCATCTAACTGGGCACATGGGCAGAAATCCAAAAGGCCGGGCAGAAGAGCAGAGCGGCTAGCACGTGGGAAAGGCGGAGGACACCCTGGGCCTCTCCTTCCCTCCCGCCCACGCCCAGCCCGGCCCGGGACTGACCCAGCTCCTCGTCGGAGTGCAGGGTGGGGTCCACCAGCGCCTTGAGCTCGGTGCTCTGCAGCAGGTAGCTCTTGAGCTGGGTCATCATGGTGCGGATCTCCTGCAGCATCTCGGTGCTGGAGGTCTGGCGCGCCATCATCTCCAGGCTGTACACCGTGTAGTCCCGCACCAGGTTGCCGAAGTACGAGGCCTTGTCCTGGGCCAGCTCCACCACCTTCTTGTACAGCTTGCGGTTGGTGGAGAGGAAGGCATGGAAGACGTTGCTGAAGCTGGCGAAGCTGAGCCGGTGCCGCGCCTTGCCCAGGATCATGGAGGGCTTTTTCCTCACGCTGGGGCTGCTGAACTGCTCCACCTCCTCCTCCGCGCTGCTGGTCGAGTAGGAGTCCTGGTCCGTGGCGCAGGCGGGCGAGCCCCAGCTGTCCGCCAGGGAGGCCTGCGAGCCCTTGAACTCCGGAGCGCTCTGGGGCCGGGCGCCGGCCTGGGCATGCGGGCTCTGAGTCCTGGCTCGGGGCACAGGGCTCGGGTCTTCTCTGGGCGGGCCCGGGGCGGGCTTCTCGGGGGCCGGCTGCTCTGTGGAGAGCTCGGCGATCTCCACGGGGCTTGCGAGGCCCGAGGCCAGCTGCCGGGAGATCCGTTTTTTCCTAGGGGGCGGGACTGGGGGTGGTCGGATCTTCCTCCCCAGCTCTGGCTGGGCGCCCAGTTCGCTGGCTTGGGCCGCTGCTTCCTGGCCCGGCTCCACGGTCCTCTGAGGCGCTTCCCCAGCACTGTCAGGGGGCGCCTCGGGAGGCAGGCTGAGCGGGGGTGCCGTGGAAACACCCAGCGGCTCCCCCTCTGCTGCTGTCCCCCGGCCCACCTTCCCCACATCCTGGTCCTCTAGGGAGACCCTCTCGGAGATGCGGCGTCGGGGAGGAGCAGGAGGGGGGTTCTTCTTTGCTGGGACCGGAGGGGCGGGGGCCTGCTGCAAGGGACCGGGGGACGCCCCTGGCTTCATCTCTTCCTCCCTGGAGGGGCTCAGGCCTGCGGGAGGCTGTGGGAGCCTCTCACAGGCTGTCATGGGTGGCAGGCTTGGATGGTCTGGGGGGCCCGGGGCATGAGGTGCAAGGTGGGGGGCCGAGGCTGCAGGAGGAAGGGCTTCTGGGGGCGGGGAGGCAGCAGCCACCGGGGGAGAACTGGGCAAAGGACAGGCTGGAGGAGCAGGCGCTGAGGGCAGAGGAGGCTGAGCTGAGCCGGTGGGGTGAGAGGGGGAAGGTGGCGGAGGGGGTGCTGGGCGGCGAGGGGCCCACCTGGAGGTGGGTGAGGTAGCGTCAGAGGTGGGAGTCGGCGGGCATGCAGAGGGGGTCTGGTCGGCAGCCAGGGTGCTGCCACAGTCCTCAATGAAGATGGGGTTCACAAACCACAGGCGGTCGCTCCCCAGGGACAGCTCGATCTCACACGAACAGTTTGCGTGATGGGAGGCCGACCTGAGGCTGGAGGCTGGGGGCGTTCCGGGGGCTGGGTCTCTCGGGGGCTCCGCTGGGCTCCCACCTCCTCGCCGGGGGTTCAGGGAGGAGTCCCAGAAGCCTGGGGAAACAAGAGAGGGAGAGGCTGTAGCTTGGAAGCAGGTGTGGCAGGAGGGCCGGGGCGGGCGGCAGGGCCACGCCGTCACAGCATCTGCTTTGAGGCTTGTTTTTCCCCTCTCCGGCTGTTTTAAACCTCTCCCACCACTTCCTGCTTCTGGAGGGGAAGCCCCACGCAAGCCTCCCCCTCGGTGCTGGGGTGGGGCTAGGACTTGGCCTCAGCTCTGACCCTGGCAATGGGGGCGCCCACCCTGGAGGGCACTGACATGGCGGGGGCAGGGTGCAGCCTGGAGAGCCGCAGGCACGTGTGGGGATCGCGGGGACGGCAGGTGCCCGGTCCCTCATGCTGACCAGCTGGGTGCTCGGGGGTCTGTCAGTTGACCTTTCTAGGCCTCAGTCTCGTCGTCTCTAGGGTGACCTAGAGAAGGTGCTCTGGGCTGGTGTTGGCCACCACGGTTGTTCCAAGCAGGAAGAACCTGTGGATTGTGGCCGGCGAGCTCAGACCCGACCGTCTGAGTGGGGAATGCCTGCCTACTACAGAAAGATCCTGACACTGATTAATCTCGGGTACAACAGGAAGCTGCCCCCGGTGTGTGTTGGTAAAGGGGGGGCTCAGAAGCAGGGGTTCCTGCACAGCTGAGCTCAGTTCCAGCACAGGTGTCACAGATCCAGCCCAGGCCCGTGGCCCCCGGAGCGGCCTGTCCTCCCCAGCTTTGTTGACCACGTCGGGTTGGACATGCTCAGGGACAGGGGACACCTGAGCTGAAAGGCATGGGGGATCCACTCACTCAGAAATTCCTGACCAGGCCCTAAGGAGAATGTGGTGGAAGCTCAGTGGCTAGCAGGCGACTCTGAGCTCACTCAAGCAGCTGCTCCTGGACAGGGGCCTGGAAACCCCGTCTCTTTAGGGCTCTGGGTTGGGCACTGACCCGGAAGCTCACTGAGTCCTGGCTTGGGAGGCGGGCTTGGCCTTTGATTCTCAGTGAGAAAACCGCCAAATATAATATCAAGGACAATAAAGGAACAGACATCCATTGAGTTCCAGCTGTGTGGGCTGCCCCCTTTCAATGGCTATGTCACCGAACCTTCTGGAAGTCCTAATATTATCCCCAGAGCACAGGTAAAGGTTAACAATCCAGAGAGATGAACTTGGCCGGGTCACAGGTGAGTGGACATGAGCAGGGCCAGAGCAGGGATGGGAGCCAGGCCTGCGCAACTCCTAAGTCCCTCTGCTCGGCCCCGGTGTTAAGGGGCCCTCCTTCAAAGGAACTTGCAACACTTCCCATCTGGGTTGCTGAGGGGGAGGGTGGCATGCACTCCAGAACTGGGGATGTGGTAAGAGCATGACAGGCTCCTGACATCGAAATAAAGGAGCATCTCGAGATGGTAGCTGTGTGCACACCTGCCCCCAAAGATGGGCACTCTCAGGGATGCGGGCAGTGCCCACCTTGTTGGCCAGGGGGGTCGCAAACCCAATCAAGACCAGCAGGGTGACCCCAAGGCCATGCAGCTGCTGAGAGCGATCAAGAGCAACCCCACCCTGCGCCGTGAGGCGGGGCTCAGGTGTCAGCCCTGTCCTCCATGCCAAGTCCGGCAGCGGATTGAGCCAGCTGTCTCCACAGTGAGGATGACAGACTTTCAGGTGACTCTCTCGACATGCAAAGCTCTGAGCACCTCTGAGGACGTGGTGAGCCCAGGCTGGGAGGCCGGTTGCCAGGCTCTCCCTTGACCCAGGCCAGCTGTTCCCCGCCCCCTGCACCTTACTCTCCCGCCCAGCTCCTGACCCTCCAGGACCGAGCACCCCCCTGGGGGTGGCACACAGAGAAGATATTCTGGCCCTGGGGACTGATCTTTTGAAGCACCGTGCCCCGTCTACACAGGCCCAGTCTCTCTCCTCTCAAGTTTCCCAGAAAGGACCAGCAGGTACCACAGCGACTCTGAGGAGAGCTGGTAGCAGGCCCTGTGAGAGCAGAGGTGCCCGGTCCTCACCTCCAAGCTCCCAGAAGACCCTTGGATGCAGGAGCCCGTCAGGGGCGAGGCAGTGTACAGAGCTGCCCGCCATGGCTGGACACTCGCCGCATCGCTCTCGCCTCACGCCACAGCCTGCCCCGTCCTACCCATTCCCCTGCAGCACTGAGCCCCCAGAGCAGGCCCTTGATTGCGGGTTCAGAGTCACTTCCAACCCCTTAACCTGGCCTTCAAGGCCCACAAGATCTGGCCTGGACTTTTCTAGCAGCATCTCCTGAGCCTTTACCCCACTCTCTGCAGTTCAGTTCTTCCTGAACACACCACAGGCTGCCCTGCATTCAGCTCTCAACGATGGCGGTCCTCTGTTTAAAAGAGCATGCTTCTCCTACCCCCTCCGCCTAGCAAGCTTTTACTCATCCTTCAAGACTCAGGTCAGGTGTTACCTGCTCGGTGGGGCCTTCCCGACACCTTCAGGCCTCACCGACCCTCCTCTGTGCTCCCACGGCTCTGGTGCCCACTCAGACCCAGGGCACCACTGTCGGGACTGTAATCCTCCGGTTTCTCTGGCTCTCCTTCCACACCCCGCCCCTCTGTCCCCCACTCTGAGCTTCCGGGAGGCAGCTCCATGCCTCCTCCATCTGAGCATTTGCAGCACCTAAGACAGTGCCTCAAACAGGCCAGCAGGTTTAGTGTGGCCAGAGCAGAGGCAGGGGCCTGAGGAAGGGCCACAGGCGAGACTATTCTGATGGTGAAGGGCGAGGACAGCAAGAAAACAAGAACACACTTTCCATCACTCAGATTTAAATGCTGGTCGGTGTGGAGCAGACACTTGGTTCAGATAAATGGGCTCTGGTCCCAGGGGTCTAGGAACTGCTCCCCTGTCCCCAAGATAGGCCTGTGGCTGTTCCTGGCCAAGGTAGCTGCCTCCAAGCCAGTGCCGCTCTGAGGGTGGAGCCAGCAGTCCTTACACAACCTAGGGTCTGGGGGCCTGTGAGGGAACCACAGTGGCACTGCAGGGGTTTAGGCTCAAAAAAGGAAGTAGGTCAACTTTCTCTGCAGTCTGCAGAATGCCAAAGCCACAGGAGAAGCAGAACATGGTCATGCAATCCTAGTGGTTGGCAAAGCTGCGGGCACCTATGCCTGATAGCATCATGCCAAGCCGTGGCTCAGCTGCAGGGGTTCCCCTATGGCTTTCACTGCCTCCGTGCTCTAACCCCCACCCCCTGAGACCGAGGCAGCACAGCAACCTCTGTGACCTCCCACACCTGTGGCGGAGGCTGGGGACACCTCTGCAGATGTCCGTGCCTCTAAGCCACGGCCTGGGTGGAGCCAGACCCTGGACTGGCGCCCAGGAGGGCAAAGTCTAGGAAGCTCCACACTCAGAGAGCCCCAGGCCAGCGGAGGACAGAGAGGGGTGGATAAAAGCTGTAAAATATTCCAGATGCCATGGAAACAGCTCAAAAGTGCATGAGTTCAGTGAATAAATATTTATACGGCATTCCAGAGATGGGCTGCTAGAGACTCACTTGAACTCGAGCGCTCGATGAATTTTTTAACAACAAGGAAAATTATTATATGATCTCGAGGAAAAAAAAAACAAGCTACAAATGCAAACTTGAAAGCGTCATAGACAGGCCTTGACTACATATTTTTGGAAGATTAAGGCTCTGTACACGGCAAACGTGCCTGAGAAACTCTGCTCGCGCCTCCCTTCCGTACACTGCCGCACGGTCCTCGCGCGCCTCCAGCCCCCCCGCACAGACTGCAGTGCTGAGCTGCCCTCTACGTTTGTTTTGTGGCACCAATCTCCCTTTGAAATCCAAGCTTTGAAGTCCAAGGTATCTACACAGTCTGCCTATTTTTTTTGAGTAGAAGAACTGGGGTGCAGGCCAGAGGTGCAGCAGGGGGCTGGGGGAGACGGATGGGGGTAAGAGGATTCACCAGAGACAGAGTGGGGAGCAGAACAGGCAGACTGACTGAAACACACTGCTGAGGGGAGCAGCGGGGAGACAGGAGAGGTCTGCTGTGCCATGTGTGGGTCACCCCCTGGCTGGGGATCGAACTGGGGCCCTAGCAGCATAGTGCTAGACAAAACCCTACGCCACCAGGGAGGCCCCCTACAGCCTGCCCTTTGGAACGGTGGCTTTCCAAGGCCATCCTTGGACTTTCCACATCGTCAGCTCCAGAGAGAACACTGTGTTTTTACCCACTGCAGAGCCCGGTGCTGCCCCAGTGCCTTGATCCCTGTCTGCCTGGCAAGGCACGTGACCGAATCAGAGATTCATCACATTTGACTCCATTTGTAAAAGGTGAGCAGAATGCCAGAAAAATAACATTGCTGACACTACTGACAGGAAACACATATGCCCCAGGAATCTATTTCAATGGCAAGTTGGTCAGATGGCCTGAAAATCCGCTCAATCTTTACCCTTCACGAGATCCTTAGCTCTCGGCTCTAGGGAAAAATGGAAAGGTTAAAAATGTTGGAACAAAACGCAGCAAAATGGCAAGATACAAAACCGCACTTTCCCCAGTGTGTGGGCATAGTAATGCTTGGAGGGGATGCCCCACCCCCCAAACACTTGTAGTGGTGGTGGGGTTATGGCTGAGTTCCGTCTTCATCCTTTTTGAATCTTGTTGGTTAAAAAAAAACAAAAACCCAACTCCAAAAACGGGACTGCAACACGCCAGAAAAGAAACTAGACTCCTATACACACATCCACATACGTATACCATATACAAAACCCAACTCAAAATGGATAAAAGACTTGATTATAGGACACAACACTATAAAATAGATAGAAGAAAATGCAGGCAAAACACTCCAGGACATAAGCCTCAGAAACACCTTTGGGGATTCTTCTCCAGAAGCGAGGACAACACCGGAGAAGATGAACAGCTGGGGCTGCATCAGCCTGAAAAGCTTCTGTACAACAAAAGGGACAATCATCAAAACAAAGGGACGTCTTACTGAATGGGAGAAGCCTTGGGACACCACACGGTCGCAGAGATCTACAAAGACGAAGGGATGGCTACCAAAGATCTACAAAGAACTTGCACAACTCAACAAAAACAGAGCAAACAACCCAGTCAAAAAATGGGCAAAGAGACACTTCTCCAAAGAAGAAACGCAAATGGCCAACAGGCATATGAAGAGATGTTCCACATCACTAGTTACCAGGGAGAGGTAAATCCAAACCACCGTGGGACACCACCTCGCTGCAGCGAGAAGGGCCCACGCTGGGAAAACCAGAACCCACAAATGCTGGCGCGGAGGGGGAGGGAAGGAAGCCTCTTACTCTCCGGGGGGACGTACGCCGGCCACGAAGGAAAGCTGTGTGCAGTCTCCCGGGACACCAAAAATGGATCAGAACAACAACAACAACAAAATGGAACCCTATGACCCAGCGATTCCACTCCTAGGAATCTACCCAGAGCCCAGAGGACGCAAGACACTACATTTTTTTCACTGCTATATTTCTTGCCACACTACGCGCACTAGCCAAGGTACGGAGACAGCCCACAGACAGTCACAGACGGCTGGAAAAAGGACAAATTCATGGCAGTTGCAGCAGCATGGATGCACCTGGAAGGGACGCTGGGGGCTGAGTGAGTCAGAAGGAAAAAGACCGTCACAGGACGGGCTCCTCGGATGTGTGAGGCGGAGAAACAGAACGAAAGGTCAAGAAAAAGTCCAAACCCGCAAGCTGGCCAGAGACCTGAGGCGTCCAGCAAAGGAGGAGGGGAGGGGTGGAGACCCAGGGAGGGGTGGCCACAGGGGAGGGGGTGCCAGAGAGCTGTGGGGACCACAACCACGCAAGAGAAGGAATTAATTCATTTTAAAAAACCATAGGAAAAAACCCAAGACCAAACACAACAGGCTGGACTTAGAGTGAGAAGAAGCTGTAATGAGAGAGAAGCAGGTATGGGGTGTGAGGCAGAGGTCAGGGGTCTCGTCTCCCCATCCCCGTCCTTACAGACCCCCTGAAAGGCAGGGCACTACCAGCGGCTTCCACTGGGGGTGCTGGAAGCACGTGGGAAGGGCGGGATATGGGGGTGTGGTGGGGTGTCTCTGAGCCCAGGCCTGGATGCCGCTTCTGTCACCTTCCAGTGACCAAAGTCCTTCCGTCCCTTTCAGGCCCCCTCCTTTCTGGGTAAGGGATTTATTGGGATACACGTCACATCCTGGACAGCGCACCCATTTAAGAAACAGCCCGGGATTTGGGTTATTTCTTTTGTGTATTTGCCACTATTAATTTTAGAACATTTTCATCACCCCAAAAAGAATCTCCACACACAGAGCAGTCCCCCCACTGACCCCCTCCCTAGCCCCGGGCAACCACACGTCTGCTTTCGGTCTAGAGTTGCCTGTTCTGTTCTGGACACGTCACACGTGCTGTGTGGCCTCCCGCCTGGCCCCGCGCTGAGCGCATGCCAAGGCTCCCGGGTATCTCACGTCAGGCTCTTTGCTGTTGAGCAAGCCCTTTAGGCCCTTCTGAGTTTCCCTTCCCTCAGCTGTGAAACGGGATTGTGCGACAACCAAGGGAGATCAGGCCTGCGTGGTGAATACGTGACGGGCTTGCCCGCCACTTCCTTTCAGTGTTCCCTGAAACACGGGCTGTACCAGGGTGACACCCAGCCCACGGGCACCCCATCACCACGCCGGCCAGCGATCATCCTGATTCTCCCAGGGAAACCCAAGTGAGAGCCCGGGTGGGAGGGGGTGGGGGGGTAGGGCTGTGACTGGAGCCTGGCAGGTGGGCAGAGAGGGACGGCAAGTTAAGGAGGAGGCTGAGGGGACAGGTGTGTGCAAAGGCACAGCTGCTGCTCCCCACAAAGCCATGTGACCTTCCTGCTCTGTTTCTTGGAGGAGCCCAGTGTCCTGTTACTAAGTCCCTCTTACCACTGGGAGTCTGCATAGGTTTCAGGTTCTCTGCACTGAGGGCTCTGCTGAAGCATCACATGAGGCCCTGGCACAATGCCTGGACCGTGGCACAAGCCGCTATCTGCAGAGCTATGGTCACCGCTGCACAAGCAGGTCAGAGAGCCGAAGCCCGTGCATCTGCTGCCCAGGCCTCTGGCCCAGCTGCGCTCTCTGCTCTGCAGCCCCATCCATTCAGGGCCTGGACTGAAACATGAACCCCTGGGCTCCAGGGAACAACTATTCAGGTAGCCCCACTTTCTGTCGCGCCACCCCTTGGGTAGGATACCAGCTCTGCTCAGAACCTTCTAGTTCCAAAGTTGAACATACCCAGGTTTTATTTAAATCCCCTGCTCAAGGACTAAGTGCAGACAGACAATCTGAACTGCTGCGGACTCCCCGACTTGCACCTCCTTCCCCCACGTCCTCATCACACCAAGGTCAAGTCCCCCAGGAGAGAAGGGATTATCTAGTCTAGAAAGGAAAGTGGTTCTCCCAGGAGCAGCAGCAGCTTGTCTCAAATACAACATGTCCCTAGGTCTTAGGGGCAACCATGATCCTCCAGAGACCTGCAGGGGACCCCGACAGTCCCAGGGATGCCCCCCTGCACCCAGCAGTGGGGTTAAGGGCTACAGCACAGCAACCCCTCCTCTGAGTGCTCCTCCCCAGACCCAGGCCGTGCATCTCATTTGCCCTCCCAACTTGGCCTAAAACTGGTCATGGACTGCCTGTTGCAAATAGAGCGGAGAAGGTGGTGGGGCAGCCAAGGGCAGCGCAGGGGCCATGCATGCCTGGTGCACATCCCAGCTGGCTTCTTTCCCACCAGGGGCGCCAGGGACTAGTTTCTCTGCTGTGTCTTTAAGGCAGGGACACAGGATTGCACAAGACAATGTCTCCCAAGGGCGCTACAATCAATGAATGCAATCCATGCCATCTGAGGGCAAAGTTCAGTGTTTATTCTCAATATCAACTGAAAAGTGACCCTAAGAGGCTTGGGTGAAGAGCTCCAGGGCAGCAAGAGAGGGGGGGTGGGCGCCACAGCCCAAGAGCCAGCTCTGCTGTGGTCTGCGACCTTGGACATGTTCCTTAGGCTCTCCTGCCTCAGTTTCCTTGGCCATAAAACAGATGAGTGAATCAAGAAGATGTGGTCTGTATACATCATGGAATACTACTCAGCAATCAAAAAGGATAAGCTCCTGCCACTGGCAGCAACATGGATGGAGCTGAAAGGGATTATATTGAGCAAAAAAGTCAGAAGGAGGAAGATAAATATTGCTAGTTTCACTTGTATGTGGAATAGAGAGAAACAAAGGGTCAAAGACAAAAGAGCTGAAAGCTGACCATAGATCTGAGGCATCCAGGAGGGTAGAGGAGAGAGAGATGTGAGAGCAGGGGTCGGGGGGAGCACAAGGGGCTTTGATGATGGACTGTGGGTGCTTTGGTGGTGGGAGAACTGCAGTGGCCACACCCGAGGGGAGAAACCTTGTGCCGTCAAAAAATTAACAAGGATGTGAGAAAAAGGTACTTCATTTAACAAATTAATTAAAAAAATAAAATCTAAGGGATACTGTAAATAAAAAAAAAGAAATTCTCTGGTGCTGACTAGCTGACAGAGGCTGCCAGCCTGGCTTCCAGCGGCTGCGGACTTGGGCCGGCTGGGCCTCCTCAGGGCTGGCCGGGGGGCTGGGCAGAGGCGGGTGCTGGCTGGCTGCATCCTCACAGCCCCAGCAAAGCTCCCCTCGTGGAGGGGGCTCAGGAGACACGCGGGCTTCCTATGGGTGCAGGGCTGGGGGCAGGAGCGTCTGTCTCTGCCTCTCTTTTCTTTTCCCGCCCCTCTTCATCCTCAGACGGCCAGAGGGTCCGGGGGAGAGCGCTGGGCAGGGGGCAGGCAGAGGGAGTTGCCATCGCATTCACGCTGATCTGCTGCCAAGGGTGAGGCTGGGGCTGAGATGCCCGGCTCTGTGCCACGGAGGAGGATTCTGGCCTTTCTCCAGATCCCCCGGAGCCACTTGTGAGGGTAACCAGCCGTGCTGGCCTGAGGGCCCCAGCTGCCTCAGACCCGCCAGGGGTGTGCGTGAGGCCCCCTGGAGAGCAGCTAAAAGGTGCTGCTTTGAACACTGGGAGAATCTCCCCATCACGAGGGCTGGGGCAGGCGTGCGGGTGGTTCCGAAGAAGCGGGTCTCAGGAGCCAGCCTGGTGCCAGCCTGAGGCGGCCCCTCTGTTCCCGGGCCAGGGGACTGTTCTGGGGTCTCTCTCTCTCTTTTTTTTTTTAAGATTTATTTATTTATTATTTTTCATTTATTATACAAGCACTGGGTACAGTCAGAAGCGCGGGAGGGTGAGAGAATTCACCAGAGCCAGAGCGGGGAGCAGAGCAGGCAGAAGGACCGAAGGACACTGCTGAGGGGAGCAGCGGGCGGCAGGAGAGGTCTGCGCGCCATGCGGGACCCTCCTCCGGTGGCCGGGGAGCAGCCGGGGATCGAACCGGCGCTGCAGAGGCTGCGGGCAGCTTTGCAACCCAGCGCTCAACCGCTGCGCCACGGGGGAGGCCCTGTTCTGGGGTCTCTTTGCCTAAATCCCTGCCTCCTCCCTGACCTCTTGGAGAAGACTTACCCAGGCCCAGGGTGGAGATGGTCTCGAGGTCCGTGAAGCTTCTGGCCTCCAGGATGGCCTGGGGCAGCCTCAGTGTGAAGGGCAGTAAATCTCTGTGGAGACATGAGTGGCCAGAGGTCATGCTGGGGCGGGGAATCATGGGTGTCCATTCCCTGGTTCCACAGCCCCCAAACCCACAGCCCCCAAGGGAAGCACCCCAGCAACCCCGCTGGCTGCTGGCAGAGCTCTGAGGCTGACGGAGCTTCCAGTCAGGTGGGGCCCACAGGGGTGGCCATGCGCTAAAGGCCGTATTCTGGGTAAAGCAGACCCTTCTGGGGAATGGGGGGTTCATTTCTTCCCAGTTTTCCTGGCCTGTGGAAAGCCCAGCAGCTTCTGCTAAAAGTGATATCCTGGGTAAAGTGGGTGTAAGGGGCCTGCAGCTTTTATGCTTTCTCCGGTGCCCCCTGCCAGCTCCTGGATGTGGTCACCAGCGGGGAGGTGGATGGGAGGGGCAGAAAGTCCCATCCTCTAGTCCCGTGGTCTTCCTGCCACCAGTGCCATGATGGCCCCACCCTCAGTCACCTCGTTAGTATAAACACTAGTGTGAGTGGAAAATTTCCTTCAGGATAATGAAAGACACCCCTACTGTGGGGGAAATCCCAAGGAGCTCTGTGTCAGGAGCCTGGACAAACACCAAATGTGCTTTCGTGTTAAAACACACCCCCTGATAGGCGTGACCCGCAGAGTGAAAGACATTATACACCACGTACGTCAGTCACCACTTCTTTGGTACAGACTAGTTCTCCCTTCCCCGGGGGGCTCAGCACCCGCTCCTGGTCCTGGGAAGCTTTGGGGTGACCTGGGAAGTGCTCTCAGGATGGGAGGCCCCATCAATGGGAGTGATACCAGAGCCCCCCTCAACGGCCCATGGCACCCCCAGCAACACCTCAAAAGGATTCTGAGGGATTCTGTGGTTTTGAAAATCGATCTCTGTAGAAGGAAAAAAACATAACCTCATTTTGGTCAAAATTTTTTTTAAGTGAAAGAGGAAGAAAAAGAAAGTCACCATGGACTCTGGGATTGACAGCCCCAGTTGAGACCCCAGCTCTGCCGTTCCCAGGAGTGATGCTCCCCGCAGTTCTGGGTCTGATGGGCACCACGGTCTTGGGGTGGTTTTGACGATTAAATGGTGGGATGTAGAAAACAGCACAAGCACAAGCACCTCATGGGGATGTGCTTCCTCTTCCTAAGAGCCAGTCAAGGGCCCTTCTGGGGACGTCTGAGCAGTGGCGCCAGGCGTCTTTCCTGTGCCCAACACCCAGGACCGTGCAAGGCAAGATGGCGGCTCCCGGCTGGGGCAGCTGGGAAGGGAGCCCGAGACACAGGAACAGCCTCCTTCAAAGGCAGAGGCCAGGCCTCTTCCTGCCGCCCTCCTCAGGGAAAGCAGGGAAGCAGCTTAGTGACCGGCTGGGTGCCTGGCAGATCTACGGGGCAACTCCCTCCCTTACTCATTTCAGTGAACAGCACCCACTTTCTGAGGCCACTGTCTCCCGACCCCAGGGCACTGAGGATTGGGGCCCACGATCCCCGTAAGAGGCTGAGCAGAGTGCCCAGTGTGCAGCAAGGGCATCGGAACAACCGAGTGTGTTCAAGTTCCTGTTGTCCAGGATAGGAACCCCTAGGCCCCCCTAGGTCCCCCCAGTCCCCCTATTTTGCAGTGGCTGCCCTCCCATCAGTTCCCCCAGGCTACCCTGACAGGCACCTCCACATAGGACTGGGAGGGCTGCCGCGGCCCAGCCGAGGCCCGGCTGGTCTCCACTCTCCCCTTGCTTTGCTCCCAGCCGTGGTCTTCCCAGTAGCCCATCTCCCGGTGTGCCCCGCTTCCCCACGAGTTCCTGAGCGTCCCACTGCCTTCCCGCTGCCAGGCCTCACCCACGCTGTCTCCTCATCCTAAGTTCTCTTCCTCCCTCTGCGCCATCTCCAATGTCACCTCTTCCTCCCAGAAAGCCCAGACTTCCCTAGGTGACGGGGACGGCTGGCGGGGGAGCAGCACGCACCCCCGAGGCTGCAGACCTGCAACAGTGTGCTGGGTGGACGCCACAGGGGCTCAGGAGCCAGACACGAGCGCGTTCATGTCTGGTCAGCACCTAGTGGTCAGGCCCGAGGCCTCAGTCTCCTCACCCCCATCAGTGGTAAGAACGTGCCCGATCGCTTCTGGACCACTCGCTACGCGCCATGTCTCTGCCAGGCCCCGACAAGCCTTGCGTCTGACCCTCAGCGCACCCTGGGGCTGCAGATGAGAACAGCTACCCCCAGGGCCGCTGGAGGTGGGGAAGAACTCCTGGGGAGGGGGCAGCCCAAACCTCATCTACTGGATGCCCCTCCACGGGAGCTGGGCCAAGTGGACACTGGCCAAGTGGACACCGGCCACCCCACCCAGGCCCCTCACATCCCCTCGTGGCCCAGGCTCTGGGGGGATTGCTCCTGTGAGCTGGCACCCGTGACCCTCACAGGTAAGGTTTGTCCTGCCTTGTTTGCCCCAGGAAGAGCCACAAATGTCAGGGTGTGCCACAGGTCGGGGAAGGTGGCTGGCTGCTTTGGGGGTACAAAAGCCCAGCTCCGTGGCCTTACAGCAGATAACCCTCCATCCCGGGAAGGGGTCTACTTCATGCTCTGGAGCTGCCCTGGCCCTCACTTCCTCGCTGGACTTCTCTCCCTTCCCCGTCCGGCTCCCCACTCCCTTGCTGCTTTCTCCTTGGCAGGAAGTGCCCTAACCACACCTGTGCCAGACGCCTCGAAGTCCCCAGCTATTACTATCATTGCCCTCGGAAAGTTCCCACACCCTGGTCCACAGACGGGCGGGCTATAAGCGCAGGCTTCATACCTGTGCGTGTCCTGCATGTGGACACTGCGCCCAACCCCAGCCCCGCTGAGTCAGACTCCTCAGGGGGCCCAGGACACTGGAATTTTCACCACCTTCCCGGGCCACGATGGACCAGCGGGTCCGGGAACCCGCCCCACAGCTGTCACGCCATCCAGTGGGAGCGACGGGGCTGGTGTCAGGGTCGGGGTGAGCACCCGGAGCAGACGCTGCCTTCCCGTTCCCAGGGAGAGGGGGCAGGGGGTACATGGGGGACGGGCCTCCTGCGGAGGAAACCTCCCTCCCCCTACCTGACCACCTCAGGTCCAAGCTCTTGTGGGGGATGTCCTGGCCCCAGCCCAGGCCATCGGGCGCCAAGGACCCACGGGTCTGTGGGAGGAGGGCCGGGGGGATCCGCGGCGGGACCCTGCCTCAGGCTGGGACGGACATTTATCACCTGGGGGCTCAGCTGTCCTCAGAAGCCGCCTGGGCCAGGCCTCGCAGCCAACACAAAGGCCTCCCACAAGCCCCTCTGCTCCGGCTCCGTCTGCTCCAATGTTAGGTCTGACGGCACCCGCCCCTCGATCGCAGGGGGACAGCACCCCAGGGCTCCTGCACTTCGGGCTTCCCTCCTGGCTGTCATCCCCGTAAGAGACGAGGCAGCAGGCCCAGAACAGTGGGGTGACACTGAGGTCCCGCAGCCAGGTACTGCGTCTCCACTCCCAGCGCGGGGCTCTTCCTCCCAGGGTCTCACTTCAGAGGTGGCCTTGGGGCTGATATCCCCCCCGCAAGTACAGGCACGCCAGACCCCATGCCCTGTGACCATTTTGTGGGCTCTCTAAGCTCCTGGGGGCAGGCAAACGGGCGCCTGCTTTCTGGGTCAGCCAGACCCCGTGCTTGGTGCCTTCGTCTCAGTAAGAACTCGCCAGGGCAGGAGGGGCTGTCTCCGGGGCGCTGGGCCTGTGGTGACGTGCAGAGGGCCGGGCCTCTGAGCGCTGCCTTGCGGGCCTGGGGGGACACGCTCCTCCTGGACTCGCGGGTGTCCGCAACAGGGTGGCCCGCAAAGATCAGGGACGTGGGAACTTTATCTGCTTTGACTCTGCTCTTGGGAACAAGAGCGTTGCTTCACGGAAGACATGCCAGGCTTAAAAAGAATGTGTTTGGGGGCCTCAGACAGGGCTGGGGGCCTGGACAGCCCTCGGGAGCCCTCTGGCAGCTGTCATTATCAGCGCCACCTTTTCTGCCCACCAGGGCCCAGGAGGGTCCTGGCGGGTGGGGGGTGTTCTGGCCGGGGTCGGTTACCCCGCAGGCTGGCAGCGTGGATGCCTCCCTCCGCAGCAGGGAGAAGCGGGCTCCAGACATCCTGCCCCGCCCCCCGGCAGCCCTTGTCAAAGCCCCAATATGGTACCAAATGTATTTTTAAGTTATTGTTGACCTGTAACCGGTTCTAAATAAATAGAGCAGCTCCGAGGGTGGTTACCAGACACCCTCTCCACCCAGCAGCTGCTTCATGGTCACAAGTTTGTTCCCACGGAGGGTGTCAGCTCTTCCTGTGTCCCTACAGGAAGTTCCTTTAAAGCCCTGTGAGGGGACCTGTCTGGTCCACACAGGACCCCAAGCTGTCCTGGAAGCCAGGACACAGGATGCTGGTGTGTGAGCGGGGGGCTGGGTGCTGGTGAGGGAGGGGGCTCACCCGCCTGTGCAAGGAGGCATCAGACCCAAACCACACCCCCAACCCCATGCCTACCAGAGCGAAGCTGGGGGTTATCCCCTCTCTCTGCTTCCTCTAGGCTGCACCCTTCCATCTGGGGGCCCTCTTGAGACCCCTGGCCCCACACACGCTTGAAAGGGATGGCCTCCTGGGGGCTGGCTCTACTCACCTACTGACACAGTAGAACGCGATTAGCCTGAAGATGTCCTCAAACACAAGAACCGAGCCTTCCAGGTACAAAACTGAGGAGAGATGAGAAAGGCTGGGGTGAGTGTCCCTGTCAGAGGAGGAGGCTGAGTCTGTTGCCTGCCCTGGGGCTCCTGTTGCAGCACCTGGCCTGCCACAGCTGCACACATGGCACTGCCCGCTGGCCCATGGGAAGGGAGAAATGCCCCTCACAGTGGTCACCCACTGAGATTTCGGGGACTAGCTGGCATGGAATATGGTGGTCATCATTTTGGGCAAAACAATAAAGACTCTGGATGGTAAGAGCAGAATTAAACATTTACTTGTGAAGGTCACCTCAGTCAACGGTGAAGTCGGAGAGTGTCCAGCAGGGGGAAGCTACCAGTCCTGTCCTCCAGAGGTCCACTGTCCAGGGTGCTCAACTGGGGCCACCTGTCTTTCACCCAAGAGCTTGTAAGAACCTCATTTGATCTGGCTGCATGGGTGAGAGTGAGGGAGACCTCAAAATTCCCTGACAAGGAAGAAGGATGAAAGTATTTGCCCAAGATCCCATCCCAAGGGCTCCAGAGAAGCTGAGGGAGACCATGAAGTTCCCCGTGGACCCACAACTCAGCATCATCCTTCCGAGGAGTCCCAACTCTCACCCTGGGCTCCACATGCCTAACATGGGATGCTTCCTGCACTGGGGATCCCCACTGTGAACTTTCTTAGGCATCAGCAAGGCCAAGAAACACGGGCATGTTGTACTTTAGCTCCAATGTCCTCAGTTCTTCTAGCGTCCCTGTGCGGGGGGAGGCAGGACCGGGGCTGGGCCTCTAGGGTTAGCAGCATGACTCGGGGTTACCCCTCTCGGCCCCCCCACCTGCAAAGGGAAGGACCCGGAGCCTCCAGCAACAGGCCTGTATCCAGGTGCCAGAGTAAGGCCAGCACCCTCCCTGCTGCGCTGGCGATCTGTGTACCAGGATACACGGGCCACAGGTTCTGTTCTAATAGCCTCATTTTCACATTCATCCTGGAGGGGAGGGCCCTGCTCACAGATGCCTACAAGTGACTGGAGTCATTTATTCTACATAGTTCACATGATTTTTTTTAAGTTTACATTCATCATGAGTTCCTGGCAAAAAAAAATGGTTCCTCACCAGGATAGATGTCAATAATTGTAAAAATGAGTTTAAGAAAAATATGCAGTAGATTACAATACAGGAGGTGCTCAGCAGATGCCCACAGATGACCAGCCTGAGGGTGGAATGACCAGGCTCTGAGAATGGGGGGCAGGGGGGTGGGGGTGGGGTGGCCCACAGTGCCACCTAGTGCCAGCCTTTGGTGCGTCATCTGCTCTACACAGGCACACAGACTGGTCACCCCCACCTGGGGTCAAAGGACTTCTCTGGGCCAGGAGAGGTAGGGCGAGCACCCCTCTGTCAAGTGGGAACATAAAGAGCTCCCCCACGATGTACACAGGAAGCCGAGCTGTGCCTACCAGGCATGCTCAACAACTAGCCGCTGTCCTTGGAGAGAGGCTCCTTTGCGCAATGCAGCAGGAAACTTCCGTGCCCTCTGGCACCTCATATAAAGCTTCTTTTAGAGTTAGTCATACTTGGCTTGTTGGATCAGCTTCTTGGGAGCAGGGACCAGGCTTATTCATTTTTTAGCCCAGGGCCCAATACAATTCTTTCCTATTGGCCCAATAACCTGCTTACTGTTCAAACTAGATCTGTGCAAGCCACAAAGCTGTTTGCTTCTTTGGAATTAGGAGGGCCCCACTGCTGGCCCCGTCTGCACCTCTCCCCACCCTGATCATGGGAATGCACCAAGGCCACACCCGGAGCTCCTGCAGGACAGGGCCAGGGCTTTGCCCACATGCAAGTCTCCCACAGCACCCAGCACAGCGCCTGCATGCAGCCTGGGAGACCAGAGAATGTTTGCTAAGTAGCTGTCTCAAGGGACACCCCAGAGGGCAGAGGCTCCAGAGTCCTGGACCTCTCACCAGAACTCATGGTCCTTCCCTCCAGGGTGACCCTGGACTTGAGGGGCTCCCAGCAGACAGCCTCACACCATCCTGCTGCTGAGGTGACTGCAAGGGGGTGAGGTAAACAATCCCTGGTTGCTTTGAGTGGTGGTGGTGGGGGTGATGACTAGTTTCCAGGGCGTCCCGTGTCCTGCACCATCCTGCTGGTGGCTGGTGTGTAGGCGCCCCGGCCAAACTGAGTGTGACTGAGTGTCTATCATGTGCCCTGGTTTCCTCAGCTGGGTGACAGGGTGCACAAAGGATGCCCCTGTTGTGGGTTGAGTTGTGTGCCCCTCAAAATTTATGCTGGAGTCCTCTCTCCTGGTACCTGTGAATGTGACCTCCCAATTTGGGAAGTGGGTCTTTGTAGATATAATCAGGATGAGGGCAGACTGGATCGGGTGGACCCTAAATCCAACCTCTGGGGCCCTTATAAGGAAACACGTAATGACATGAGACATAGACATGCAGAGCGGGGCCGTGGGGACAGGGAGGCAGAGATCGGAGAGGGGTGTCCAGAAGCCAAGGATCACCAGGGACTGCCAGCCACCCCAGAAGCTAGGAAGAGGCACCAACACGTCTCCCCAATCTCCAGAAGGAACCAGCTTTTCAGATTTCAGATTTCTGGCCTCGAGAACCATGAGAGGACAGCTTCACCTGCTTTCTACCAGGGGGTGGTGCCTCACTGCAGTGCCCCTGGAGACGAGGCCCCGGCTTGGAGGAAAGGGCGGGTAAGTCCGTGGAGCTGTTGCAACAGGGTGGCCTCCCCCGCCAGCGGTGCTACGGCCAAGCCTTTGAGCAAGGAAGACCATCGCGGCACGGAGCAGGGTCAAGAGGAAGGTGTTCCTGTCCTTCCTGGGCCTCATCTTGTATGGCTCCTGGATGGAAACCCGTTCCCTGCAGGACTGTTGTCCTCCCACCCCACAGCCCTCATCTCTACCTCCAGGCCTCGGCACCTGCTGTTCCCCCAAGCTCGGAGAACAGGCCTTTGCCTTTCCCTGCCCTCAGGCCTCAGCTCCAGGTCCACTTCTGCCCCAAGGCCTGGCCAGGTGTCTGGCTCTCTCTTGTGGGAAGGCTGCACCCGGGGGCACCGTGCAATCCGCACGAGCTTGCAGCAGGGAATCCTGGGATGTGCTAGATGGCGGTGCCAGCCCGGGGTCCTCAGACCAGGAGACGGTGGGCTCACTGGGGGCAGGAGTGGGTCTGAGCTTCCCGGCCACCTGCACTGGGCCAGGCACCCAGGGAGGACTCTGCAGGGCCCGTGGGCTGACCAGACCCGCTGCTGCGGGAATCAAGGGTGGACCAGACAGAAGTCTGGAGAATGAGAGCACATGAGCGGTCGCTTCGGGGAAGGAGAGGGGAGGAGGCTAATGGGCACAGAGTTTCCTTTTTGTTGTGCTGAGCCATAAAAAGCCTAGAACATAGCCTGTCAGCCACTTTCAAGCATGCGACGCAGCGGCATTAGGTACATGCACGTCGTGCAACACCGGACTTCCTTTTTGGGGTGAGGAAATGTTCTTAAATTAATTGTGGCGAGGGCTCCACCATGGTGAATACGCTGAGAGCCGCTCCGTCGTGCGCTGTCAATGAGCAGATTGTATGAAACTGAATCCCAGCTATAAATACCTCCCCAGACGGCCGCCATTAAAAGAGAAAGACGCAGGCCCGCAGAGCGCCGCCCGAGTTTCACTGCTCTGTGAGATTGTCCGGCATTTTGATACCGAGGCTCGATGAGCTCCAAGTGGAGAAATTACAAGAATTTTCCAACTTTTCCCCTAGTTTTTCTAAATCGCTGTGTAGCCTTTTCTCTAAAGCCGCCTGGTTTCCCATGTCCTCACAGCTCACGCTGCTGTAGACCCTGCTCATAGCCTTGTGGGGGGCAGGGGACAGGCCCTGTCTGCACCCCCACGCCACCGCAGCTGGCCCCTGCTAAGGGGTCCAGTTGCCCTTAAGTCACCAGTGCTGTGGGGTGTGCCCGCTCTTGGCAGCAGCTCGGAGCCGGCCGGCGGCTGGTCCAGACAGACATGCCCGTTCAGCCGGGGGCCTTGAAAACCGGGCAGCAGCAGCCCCAGGCCCCACTGCGGACCGTCTCCCGGGGCCTCCGGCAGAAGCCTCGGTGCCGACCCCCAGGCCCCGTCTGAACGAGTTGCTCCTCCTTCAAAGAGGAGGAGAGAGAAGGGGCACCCGTCAGACGCGCCTGGCGCGTCCCCAGGTGATGACTGGCGACAACAGCTGGACCCTGCGTCTGCCTAGAGAAAAGGGAATCTGTCACCCCTGACTCACCATCCGGCCGAGTGCCCGCCAGGTAGCGGCGCCGGCCCACACGCGCCCACTGCCTCTCGCACTTACAGTCTCGGCTTCAAATGAAATGTCCTCAGAGAAGTGGAAGCTGGGAGGAGACTTTTTTCTTTTAAAAGACATTTTATCCCTCACGAAGACAAGTGAGCTGCCCGGTCAGGGACAGCGTGTGAATCTCGTTCTCCAAGTCACCCCCAGCCCCGGGCAAGGTGCTTATGAGCACACGGCTGGCTCCGGATTTTATTTATTTATTTAGAGAATATTTTATTTTGTAGTATTAACAGATTCACAGCAGGTGGCGGAGACAGACAGGCGGCCCACGTGCCCTTCATGCACCCCCACCCCAGCCCGCCTCCTCCTTAGGGATTATGGTGCTAACCAAAGTACAACATCAAAACCAGGAGCTGACCCTGGTGCAACTCACAGAACTCACTCAAAGAGCTTCGCATGGACTCGCGTGCGCACACACGGGTGGTTGTAAGGTACACTATGTCACGTCACCCCTTGTAGCTGCCTGTAATCACCACTGAGTTCAAAATATTTCCCTGTCCCCTCACCACAGGCCCCTCACAGGCAGCCTTTACAGTCACACCCACCTCTCCCCCGCCCCAACCCCTGGTAACCACCATCTGTTCTCCATCTCTGTGATCACACCATTTCATGAATGTCATGTAGCTGAATCACACAGCATATATCCTCAGGGACTGATTTTTCACTCAGCATGATTTCCTCTAGGGTTGTCTGAGCTGT